CAGGGAGAGCTGGGCAGGGGTGCCTGGGCGTCTGTGGGTGACTTGGCTGGTGGCGTGCCGCTGTCCGGCTACACCCGCCAAGCTCCCAGCCCAGCCCACCTCGGGTCCACTCCTTCCGGGGTCCGTGCGCGCTGTGCCACCAGCTCAGAGGCTGAGTGAGGCTGAGGCCCACGGAGGACTCCTCCGTCTTCTGGGGCCTAAAAGTGGCTGTTTCTTTGCTTCCTTCCTCCCTGTCAGACTCCCGGCGCTCTGGCCGTTGGTGGAGAAATGCCCGGTGACGCTGCTCGCGGCGACTGTCGGGGCAGGAGGCACGGGCCCAGCCTTGCCTCCCCCGCTCCCTGCCCTGCTGCAGTCCTCCCTGCGGCCCCGTGGGCCCCATGGGAGATGAGGCCCAGCGCCGGCGGGCGGCAGGGTCATCACTGAATGCGGCCCCTGGGGTCCCGTCCCTGCTGTTCCCCGCCGTGCCCCCTTTTCCCCGGGGTCTGTGCCTTCCTGGGTGACACTGACCTCCCGAGTCACAGTGCTGTTGGCTGCCGGTGTTGTTTTTCTGCATGACGCCAGAGAGCAGGGTGCCTGCCCGACGGTACAGGGTGCCCAGGCCGGGCGGGAGGTGACACCTGGCCGCCTTCCTCTGCAGTGCCCACCATGCCCGTCCACGCCTGGGGCCCCTCCTCTCGGCTCACCACTGGCCCCACGATGCCTAGAGTCGTGCCCACTGTGCCCCCGAGGGTCACTCCCAGGTGCCCACTAGCAGCGGCTCCTCCCGTGCTTGGCCTTGTTACCCAGGACCTGCCTCCCGAGCTCTCTGCGCTCCGGCCCTCGGCACTGCCCGGTCCCTGCCCGGCCCTGCGGCCCCAGTGTCTGAACGACAGCCCCCCAGCAGCGTCACTGCTGCTCGCCTAGGACTGTCTGAGCTTCCCACCGCACTCAGCTCCCTGGCTGGGACCCGCGGAGCCTGCAGGGCGGGCCAGTCCGCCGCCCCTGGCCTTTCTCAGCCCCTGGACGCGCCCTGTGGTGGCTGGAGCACACGCTGTTTGTTCCTTCTGCACGTGTGGCAGCCCTGCCTGCCCTGCCCGTTCTGGGTCAACCCTGGCCCGGCTCAGGGGCCTCTGTCTCTTAATCCCCAGCCCCTAAGATCCTGATGTCTGAACTTGTGCTTTGAGGCCTCTGGTCCAGGAGGGCAGGGCCTGCCTCTCGCTCCCCCGGATGCCAGCACGGAATCGGTGCTCAAAGAGTGTTTGCTGAAACGTGGAGCGTTCACAGCCTGGACCCCCATGGCTCCCCAAAGCCATGCCCCTCACTACACCTGCTGGCCTACACCCCGCCCCACCTGACTCCCGAACACCTCCCTCCTCACTCTGGTTCTGCGTCCAGGTCTGGGGGTCCCCAGGGTGAGGGATGGGCCCAGCGAGGCGGCCTCGGATGGGCAGGGGTCCTGAGTGCTCAGAGCCACCCCTGGTGGGAGAGCTGGGGCCTGGGGGGTGGGGAGGGGGCTTCGTGGGAGGCAAGGGGTGGAACGGGCCTAGGGGGAGGCCTGCTGTACTCGGAGACCCCAGCCTGCCCCCAGCGCCTGGGACATGGCCAGACGGCAGGCCTGGCGCTTCTCCCTGGCTCCTAGCTGAGGCTAGTGGGGCTCTGGGGCTGCCAAGGAGCGGGCAGCGGGGCAAGGACCTAGGAGGCAGGCAGGAGGAGTCCTGCTGGCTCAGAGACTGGGGCTCTGGGGTGGG